TGTTAAAGGCTACTGATGCCACCTGCCTTGAGGCAGCATTTGTCTGATTGAAATATCAGACTGAGCCCTATAATAAAGGATGAGTCACTGCGAGAAGTCATTTCACCTTCAGGCAAAGAGTCTGAAGACATGAAGAGGTGTCTAAAGCTTCACCAGCTGACTCGGAACGAGAATGTTAAATGGAACACAAGGTTTTATGTTTACTCAAAAAATATTTACTTTACTCCATAAAAAATATTTATTTATAATATATATTTGTTTCCTGTAAGTGTGTGCAAAGTCACTATACATTCCATTTCAGAAACCTAGGAGGATCTTCCCTGCGCCTGTTTTATTGCCGTCTCGGCTGGAGCGATGACCCCATTTGTTCTAGTAAATATTGTAAACGCAACAAAATATGGGAAATCCTTCAATGAGAACACAGCCATTCTAGAGGCTATTCTCCTCACTTTGGAGAAATTGTGTGTTTTCTGTTGTCTACATGACCGGAAGTGAAGGGAAATCTCTTCTATGCAGCAAAGATGGCAAAAAACAGTTTTTAAACATTCCCTAGTCCAACATGAAGGGGTTATTCACACCATAAAATGCACGCCATCACACAGCAGGTTTGCTGGTGCGTTGTCATTCATGTAAGTAGTACCCCAACGCACCAAGGACTACTTTAATACCATGTGCTGTGGTGAAAAAGTAAGGCATGCACTTTATTGCAATGCATGGCATTGCAGTACGGCACATTGCCCTGCAACGACTGCTCGCCAAAAGGTATGTTGGGGTGCCATTCAAAGGAATGGCAATGCAAAACATCAGCACATCTAGCATTTAGTGCAACACTGATGGCACAAGCAATAAAAAAAGTTTTGGCTTTTGATATACGTTAAAGACTCTGCAATTACCTTTGCAGTGGGGCTACCCCTGCTCTACAAGGGTTAAATGTTTTTTTTTTTTTAGGGGACAAAAATAAAGCCATTTTGCTTACCTGATCCTGGCTCCCATGGCAGTCACCTCGCTCTCCCTTTGTTCCTGTTGTTGAAATGTCCCTCAACATCAATGGCTGCCAGTTTGCTGTAAACAATGTAATTCTTCACCCTCATTCTATGTTGATTTCACACCCTCCTAACAAAGTGAATAAATATAGATGGATGCGAATGGTGATTTGTACTGTGTATGACAGGTACACTTTGTTGCCCAGGCCCCACAGCAAAACATGTTCAGGGTGAACCCACTGGAATGGAGAAATATTTCAACTTTATTACTATGCACCATCTCTAAGGCTCCATTCACATATGGCGTTTTCTGCACGAAAACACTTTTTTTTTTTTTTTTTCTTTTACATACTCACGGATTCCGTGCATTTGCGGCTATTACTATAGCCACAAACGTGCGGAATCCGCCGCTGAAATCGAGCTCAGACTATTTTGTGGGACGTGCGGTTTCGTACCGCAATAGTCTGCACAATGCGCATTTTTTTTAATGTTTAACCCTTTTCTGTGTAAAAACCACTCGTGTGAATGGCTTCCCTACAATTTTTGGATTTCCACTTTGGGGTGTTTGTATAAATTGCGCAGGCATTTGTCCTGTGAAACAAATGTGTGTACTTCATTTTGATTAGCGGTTCTGGAAAATACCACATTATGGCCACTAGATGGAGCCTTGTATACTTATGATCCTTAGCTCCATCTGGTGGCCATAATGTGGTATTTTCCTGATTTACTGGAAAGAAAATATACCGTAGTTCATTTTTGCCCCATTTACACAGAACAAATGTGCACTTCTTTTTTTTTTTTTTTTTTTTTTAAAAATACATCCTCACTGCTCACTGTCTGTCTAGGTGACGGCGTTCACTGGGAGGGTGAATTTTTCCAGCTGGGACCAATGAAGATAAACGTTCACGCGTAAAGGTTTTGTTTTCACTCGCACTATAAGTTGTGTGCTTTCAGGCTAGAGCACGCTTACTTGTGGCAGAGTATTGGAAATTTCCATTCTAAAGCTATGCAGTGTAAGATCATGAGGAATGCGGTGACGGGAACTGGAATGTCATGAATATATATACTTGTGACCTTGCATGCATTGCTGGAGGCAAGTCAGGGGCGGCAGCGGCTTGCACCAATCAAATCTCTCTGATCAGCATGCCAAGTATTGTTGACATGGGTTTGGTTGTCACATTGTCAGCTGGAAGTAGACTTTTTTTTTTTTTTCTCTCTCCCTCATCTCGGAATTTTCCAAACAATCATGTTTTCAAAGAGCATTTACTCGCTGTGCTTGTGTTAATGTTTCTCTGGTTTTGACTGTTTGTTTTTCCATTTAAATTGCACAACTTCTTTATGAAAATTGTTTGCCAAGAATGGGAATCCCAACAAGATCCTATTCAAGAGCTCTGTTGAAGATCCTATCAATTTATAGGGGCGGCCGTTGTGGAGCCCTGCTCATCCCAAGGTGGGAAAGTCGCTGCAAGAGGCTGCCAAACGCAACTCTCGGGCAAGCAAGAGCCTCTGCTTTGATATATGGCAACAGTTCTGACAGGTGCTCGTTAAAACCCAACAGAATAAGTTATTGAATACCATGCGGAAAAGGGCTGATAAATGGCAAGAGCTGGGAGTAATATTACCTGTTATGATGGTAGCTTGGGAGTTATTGGGATAGAATTCTATCATTGAGTGTATAATATGAGCATGGGTCTGGGAAACTCACTGAATGCCTGATGGTGAAGCACCAGCTCAATGCTTACATGGGATTCTGGGAAAGAAAGTTCCATGTGGCCATAAAGTCAATTATGTTGGCACAAGCATCCTGCCCCTTTATGGTCGGCTACAGGATGGGACATGCCTCAGTAGGTTGCCCCATGGTGCTTCCCAGTTCTAAATAAATTTATTTGGGTCGCGTTCGATCCAAACCCGAGCTCATCCCTACACCATGTGATGACTAGGTTTCCTGATGGTGACAGTAGTGGATCATGCCCATGTAATGTGGTGACCTGTGTGAAGGGCCAGTGTGGTTGCTCTAACAGGAAGTGCCTGAACAAGGAATGGCAGGATCACCAGGTATTTTTGTAACCAAAGCTATAGATATAAAAATAGTGAAAGTTTCCCTTAAATTACACGAAGGGCTATAATGTTGGTAATAGACATGTGCAATTCGTTTCGTTCCGAAACGAAATTCGGACAAATTTTCGGAAATTCGGATGTATCCGAATTACAGATATAACGAATGCAAACGAATCCGAATTTCCATTTCTGAAATTCGTTAGTGGTAGTTCGTTCGACCGTTCGTTTCGTTTTCGTTTCATTCGTTCGTTCTTTGCAGCAAAGTGGCATTAGAGAAGGAGAAAAAAATTTTTTCCCCTTCAAATGTCACTTTTCTGTAAACAAACAAAACGAATAAGAAACGAAACGAACGTGCGAACGAACTACCGCTAACGAATTTCGTCCGAATCCGAATTGACTTTCACACCCGAATCCCGAAAAACGAAATAACACAAAATCGGAATTAAAACGAAACTAAACAAATTTTTTGACAGTGCACATGCCTAGTTGGTAATATAGTTCACACATTTGAAACTTCTAAACAATAATTCAGTTGTTGTGTGTACAGTACTTAAGCAGAATATCCATTCCAGCCCTCCATCATAAACTGGCTTTACATTTTGCCATTTAAATGCCCATTATGTGCCATTTTTCCAGGTTCTTTAGAGACCCCGCCTCCAGCAGGCGAAAGCACAGAAGAGCTAGTATTTTAGATGTTTAGATGCATTGTTTTTCTTTTCCTTTTTATAAATGTATTCACAAGTAAATTTGACTTCAGAAGAGTCAAATTCCTAGCCCCCTCTTTGCATATCATAGCAGTCTTCTCTTGTCAGTGCTGGCTCAGCTACTACACCCCTCCCATTGCTTCTCTACATAAACTGTCATGTAGCTGCCAGGGGAAGATTTAAATGGGGATACTCTAGTGTCACTGGAGTAGTTTTGAGCCTGCTGGGGCTGCTCACACCACATTCAAGATGGCTGTGCTGAACAACAGTCTAGGGGCTTTTGAATGTCTACACAAGGGAGGCTTTTCCAGGTAAATGGCATACTCGCATTTAAAATACATTATATGCACATATACCTTAGAATATAAGCTCCTTGGGGGCAGGGACTGATGTGAATGTGTAACTATGTAAAGCACTGCATAAATTGTTGGCTCTGTATAAATACCAATAACGATAGACTGTTATGAGAAGGTTGTTGTTCATACGAATAGTCTGGTGGGGTCTCTTCAATATGTTGATCTGATGAGTGTTGCAAAGGACATGTGTCTTTTTTCAACCTGACTAACTATGCGTTTTAATAGTTCTTCGTAGTATTGTGACCATTTAAAGTTCATTTCACCTCCCCTTGCCAGTGCTGACATCTTCACCAGTCTTCTGTGTTTGGGATCTTTGGCCATCTTGATTAGCTAGACCAGTATGGCTTAACCCACACTCGTGCACACTGGTAGCAAGGTATGCCAAAAAATGTGAACTGGGCTATAAATGCTCATATCATATACATTATAAAGAAGACTGCAAGAGGCAGGTAAGTGTGTTTTTATCGTAGAAGAGACTTGCTAAGACTCTTCTACAATATAGAGCTGCCTGCTCACAATTTCTTTTTACAGTTTAGTTCCCCTTGAAGTTCCCTTTTTTTTTTTATATTCAGGATTAATTTTTCAGGTTCTTTGTCAAACGGTCCTTTCTATAGGTGGGTATTGCATAGTCGGTCAGTTCATGTGTAGCTGGAAATGAGACAAAGCAGTTGCATCATCAGAACAACCCTGAAAAGTTTGTTCAAACAATTCAAGCCAAAATAATGTTGCAAAGTGTTGAGGCAGCAAGCTTATCTTGGTTTTCAGTGTTTTCACTGTCATTATTGTGCACGACTGGTTGTGAACTATTTGGCGGCGTCCACATTTTTGGGTAAATTACTGTAGACGCACAGCTAGTTTCTGCGGTTTTTAGAAATCATCTGTTTCTTTTTCATGCAGGAAGTGTGAAATCTGCTCAGCCCTTCCAAGATGTTCTCCAAACTCGTCCAAAGACGCACCTTGGGTGCTCTCTGCAACCTCCGGGCTTCTATCAGTTCAGCTGGACCAGTGGCCACCGAAAGTCCTGTGGAAGATGCATTGTCTTCTGAATATGTGTATGACAGAGAAGCAAAGTATGGGGCGCACAACTACCACCCTCTGCCTGTTGCTCTAGAAAGGGGAAAAGGTTTGTCTTTGTTCTCCATGATCACCCATAGTCTAGCTTGCTGCAGTATCTGATGTTGGTAGAATGGTAAATGTTTTGAAATCGCTGTTTTGCCGTGTGCTGCTAGAATGCAGATTAGTTGCCTCATTACAACAGCTGCTCCTTGTCATTAGATTTTGTGCATTAAGCTGGCCACACACCTTACAATTTATCTGCAGATTTTCTGTGGTCAAATGGAAAAGGTGCAACAGATTCCTTCATGTACACTTAACTGTGTGGATGGAGTAATCTCCACCTGGGCCAATCTGTTGCACTTTTTCCATCTGACCACAGAAAATCTGCAGATAAATTTCTTAAAACAGACCTTTACATTCAAAAATCTAATTCTACCAATGCATGCCTCTGTGTGATTTTAATAACATAGACATGTCAGGTGTAAAATGCTGTAATTACTTACACTTGCAGAGCATTCACTTCCTGCGTTAATAGGGGAAAATTACTTCAGTTTGGCAAATCAATGCACACTGGGATTGCCTTGTCACCAGCAGAGCATTGCTGGGAAATCTCCTTAAGACATTTTCCTCACCTGAGATGTGCATGGTCACATGTCCTAGTCACATGTGCCAGAAATCCAGGAAGTAAGAGGAGAGCTAGTATCTGCCCTTAGTAAACATGGCCACTGTCAGAAGACTGGGGGAAGAAAAAGGAAATAAGGTCTGCAAAGAATACAAAGCTGGCAAATATCTAGAAGTATCTGTTTGTAGATTATTACTAAACATTTCTAAAGGTGTTTGTTCTTATTTTAAAGATATGGGTAAAGGTCAGCTTTAAAAGTAACCAAGGTTACCATTGCTGATGTACTAATCCAATATGTTGAGGCATGGACCTGGAAGCATGTATGGGCATCAGAAGTTTGTTTCCTGCTCCATTCAATGGTAGCCCCATATTCTCCTCCTAGGTTTACATAAAATACTCCAAGGGAGGAAGGGGGCTCTCATCTGCTTCTAAACAGATCTACAGCTTCTTTACACAATAATTCAGTAGCCTCTGGCTTCTCACTGTTGCAGTACAGTGTGTTAGGCTAATAGAATCCATGGGGAAACCCCCTCACTATTAAATCCAGATGCAGGTTATGGCTATAAGTCTGGGGGCAGCAGTTTACAGCTACAGATCTGTGGGGAAAGCATGGGGGGGTGTAACACATAGGGGTCTTATAAATAATCTGCAGAAGTATCACCCAGTGAATAGAGGCAGAAAAATAACATTGGTATATTGTCGAGGTTGCATGGTTTTACCCATCCTTATTTGTTTCCATCATACTTCATGGGGGATAGTCTCGTTCAGCAGTGCCTGAAATGACCTGTTTTCATTGCAGCTAATCTTTTCTTTCTGATGCATATTGGTTGCTATACACAGTACAGTTTTGGTAACAAATATCTACTTTGGATATATGTAGACTATTTGTTGTTGATTTGTGCCATTTGGGTAACCGTACATATTCCCATATTGAAACCCATGCTTTTTCATTCTAGGTGTGTATGTTTGGGATGTAGAAGGCCGGAGATATTTTGACTTCCTAAGTGCATACAGCGCTGTGAACCAGGGACACTGCCATCCCAAGATTGTTAACGCTTTGAAATCCCAAGCGGATAAACTGACTCTTACATCTAGGGCTTTCTACAATGATGTCCTTGGGGAATATGAAGAGTACATAACAAAATTATTCAACTACAACAAAATTCTCCCCATGAATACAGGTATGTGCTAGAACTTGAATCTGTTATGTTTCTGTATTGTGCATTCAGCTGTTGCTTGGGGGGCAGTGGTCAATAGCAGGCTCAAACATTGAGCCATTGCTTGGGGGGTCCGTGGTCAATAGTGGGCTTAAACCTTGAGCCATTGCTTGGCGGGGGGTAGTGGTAGTGGTCAATGACAGGCTGGTACATTGAGCCGTTGTTTGGAAGCCAGTGTTCAATAGCAGGCTTGAACCTTGACCATTGCTTGGGGAGTGGGCAGTGGTCAATAGCAGTATCGAACGTTGAACTGTTGCTTGGGGGGCAGTGGTCAATTAGAGGCTAGAATGCTGAGCTGTTGCTTGCGGGTCAGTGGTCAATGGCAGGCTTGAACCTTGAGCCATTGCTTGGAGGGGGGTGTTTGGGCAGTGGTCACTAGCAGTCTTAAACATTAAGCAGTTGCTTGGGGGCAGTGGTCAATGGCAGGCTTGAATCTCCCTGTCACATTTTCAGTGCAGTGGGGTGAAGAGACGGGTGACGTTGCCAAATGGAATGTATTGGTTGACTGTACAGAATGTGATGCAGCTTGTTCATGATTTCATTTAGGTGTTGAAGGTGGCGAAACTGCCTGCAAATTGGCCCGGAAGTGGGCCTACACTGTGAAAGGAGTTCCCAAGTACAAGGCTCAGATTATATTTGCAGGTAAGTTGCAAGAGTGTATACTTTGCAATTGTATTTCATGATGCAGCCCCCAACCACTTACTAGGTACATGTCACCCCCCAGAGGGCATCCCGAGACTAAAGGATAACTAAACCCAAGAACACAAATGTAATATTTTGCAGCTCACCAGTTCTTGGCCGGAAAAACTAGTGCAGCCACCGCATCTAAGAATATTTTCAGAGAGTACAAAAAATATCTGATCTTGCCAGAAATGTTCATGTCCCCGTCAGGGGAACTGAAAGAAAGTTATCCGTGCCCATATGTATAATATAGATGGATATCTGTAATGAGCTTTACTTGTACAACTCTCACCTTTTTTTCTTCTGAAACCTCCAGGGCTAATTGTGCTGGTTATAGTTACTCACACAGACTAATCCATATGACTATTAGTAATCCTAGTTTTAATATTTTACATAAAGGCCGAGGGAGGGTATCAAAAAGCCACTCCTTTTCTAAATCCTTGGTGGATTAACGTTCTTAGTCAGGTATGGGGTGAACCCCAGTAATACCGTAGAGCCTTATTGTGAAGGCTTGCCACTGCCTTATAAGAGCAATGCTTAGTGTATGAAAGGCAGCAAAATTCAAGAAACAATTGTTTTGGGTAGAGTAGGAAAATTTTAAAACCCAGCAGGTTAGTTTTTATTGTCTGTGTGCCATTGAAAAACGTTTGCTTCACTTCCTGCCCCAGAGACCCAACAGGAACGTATAGGAAGTCTCCCAAAGTGAGAAGAACTAAACGGTTATCCCTGGAATAGGTGTCCCCATTGGAAGACTTCCCCTTACCACTTGTTCTGGGGACGACTTTCCTTCACTGTCTTTTCTCATTGACAAATAAGAAGTGACTCTCCCCAAAGGACACAAAACCCGAAAAAAAGATAGTTTAACCCTTCCCTACTTTGTTAAAAACTAAAGATTTTGCCTAGAGATGCTTTAAAGCCCAATGCCACACAATACTTTCCAGGGTTAAAGCCGTTGCACATCCTGTTTCTGCAAAAGCCACCTCCTGTCATTCAGGTTCTCTTCTATAGCCAGCAAATCTGCTTGTTTATATACCGGGATTTTTACAGCTCCCACTGGATTTCCAGGCCGCTTGTGGGCAAGTGCTGCAGGACTGATGTATTAAGTGCTGCTGCTGTGTCTCTGCCTCCCTCTCCTGGCCATCTGCAAAACACACAACCCCAGGCTTCATATTCTGAATGGCCAGGAGGAGTGGGAGATGGTGACAACCTACAGCCCTTATATATCCAAGTGGCCCAGAAGTAGATAATTTGCTGTACTAGTCCTGGCATGTAAACAAACTCGCTGGATGTGGAAGGAAGTTTGCATGATGGGATTGGGGCTTTTCGATGCACACAGTGTCAAGCTTTTGAAGGTTTCAGAAAAGAGCAAGTAAAATGTTGGCAGCAATTTAACATTTTATGTGAACGAATGGATAACAAATATAAAATAGTTGGTGGTCCAGTTTTGGCTGCAAAATTGAAAATTCACTTTAAATCTGTTGTACATCTTGAGGTCTTGATATATTAGCAGTCAGGCTCAAACTCCCAAGGCAGGTTGTAATCAAGACTGGTGCACTACAACAATGCCTGGATGTACAAGTTGATGCACTACAACAAGCAAGCTGTGCTTCCTGTTGGTATTGCAACGTTCAGTTTTGACAGTTGTACCTTTACCTACATAAAATTGGGGGCCACATCTGTTCAATGGGCTCAAAAAATGCTTGATTCTGCATACACATTTTTATATCATGGAAACCCCAAATTGGTATGCTAAAAAAACATTATGCAGAAAATTTGGCTTTTTTGGTTTTAACAATCTATATTCATTCTTTCAGCTGGCAACTTCTGGGGCAGGACCATGTCTGCTATATCGTCCTCCACAGACCCATCCAGCTATGAGGGCTTTGGACCATTTATGCCTGGATTTAAAGTAATTCCATATAATGACCTTCCTGCCCTTGAGGTAAGCACCCATTATCTTCTCTTTGTTGGGAGTGCAGGTTTACATCTCCTTAATTTCTGCCAGGTTAGAGCTTCCAAACCAATCTTTGTAGGTTGGGAATGATCAATAAGATGTTGGTCACACCATGCGATGCACAAACCGATGCATGGTATGGTGGAATCGCATGCAGTGTTGGGTTTATTGAACAGCTGTTTTTTTCTTTCATACCTAGATGACATGTGCCTAACCTGTCAGAACATGGCACTTAAAGTGGGACTCCAGATAAAACAATTTTTGTTGATTTTTGGATAGTGGGGGAAAGGTTGGAAGCTCTATCATGTTTTACTAGTTGGTGGTCCCGCTGGAGAAATCTGACTTCAATTTCTATCACATACTTAATTGTCAGTGAGATTCCCACTCACTATTGTTATCACTGGAACTAGTGTCTTTTTCAGAATGTATCCAGTTTACTGGGATGTGGTGCCCTCTATTGGTTGGGCTCATGTAGTTTTTGAATTGGATGGAATAGGTATCCCCATTGGAAGATTTTTCCTCCTTCTGTATGACTGACAGTTTCTGCCCTAGTAACAGCAGTCACTAGGGTGTATCTTGTAGATGGCCATGAAAAGTTGAGGGGTTCTAACTAGTCGTCTTTTTGTTTGTGTGGTTTTGTTTTTCTGTTTTGGTTTGTGTTTTTTTTTTGTTTTTTTTGCATTCATGCATTGGAGCAATGAATTCCTTAGCTTTGTGTTGTCTTCTCTACATTCCTCTAAATGTAACCAGTGTCCAATGAGCATCATTTACAATTTCATCCATTGCTGTAAAGGAGCTGTAAGCAATTTTCTATAGAAGAAAATTGTTGGCAAGCAGTGGGAGCAAATGAAAATGCTCGACAGCCTAAAGGAACAGGATAAAGGCTATAGATACAAGCTGATGTCCTGCCCTTTACTGTATCACATTTGTCAGAAGATTTTTGAGGTTCATTTGCTTTTTATATCCACCCTTCAGCTCTGTTATTCCATGCAGACTTGTTAGAGCTGCAGTGTCATGTCAATAGCATAAAGGACACGTTAATGAAAGTGATGCGTCATTCTGCCCCTAGTGTGTGCGTATACCAATTTAGATATAAATCCTGCTTGTAATGTTCTGGTCACTGGTCTCCTGAGTGTATTTTGCACTCCAAATACTGTGCTAGTTATAAAAAAAATCAAGCAAGTTATTGGTTGTCACGGTAAATGCTTCCTGTTATGTTGTCCACAAAATTCTATTCTTGATGCTTCTCGTTTTGTTCCTTCCTGATGAGAACAGACTTCTGTCCCAAGTCACAATACTAACACATGAGAATAAAGATCTTGTGTCCAATAACAAGTCACACGGCTAAAAAAAAAGATCCTTCCCCTGGAATTAAAGCTTTGTGCATGGAGCCTTTGATGGTTTCTGAAGTATGTGTGTGTAATGTATGTATGTATGTATGTATTGGAAAAGCTTGGTAATGCACATTATCATCTTGAAATAAAATGAACTTCAGCTGGGGATGGCGGGAATTGAAATTGTAGGATTCTAGGAATTTTAACACAGCAGGGTTTGAAAAATTACCCAGATATATTTTTATTGACATGTACATAAGATGTTTGTACATTTTCCCAGAGTTCTTGGGTTAAAATTGAAACCTACACAGAGGTAAAAGTGCACATGAATGCCGTTTCTTGTCAAAATTTTTGTAAATGTTATGTATCCAGGGTTATAATCCCAGGCACACAGCAAAGTTGCTCCTGGTCATGTCTGCAACCTGCACTGCAGCTTAGCAGTACATCCTAGTACAGGTCCCACTACCAACTTGTGGTTGGTCAGTGAAAGAGCAGCAGCACATGGTCATTTCTCTACTCTCCCGCCTGTCAGAATTCTCAGTGTTCGACATGCTGAACTATGAAAAGCTATAGATTGGTTCAGAATTCTCCTCTACAGGAGCCCAATATCAAGACGCTGATGCTAATGCTAGGTGCATGTAAAATACAATTAAATCACCTTATTTAATGAATGCATGGCTGGGTTGAGTAGAGGCATTTGTTTGCCTGGAGTCCTACCGGCCATATAACCAGTGAGTTGTAGGGTCTAAGTATCCAAATTAATTATTAGATTACATTAATGTTTCAATAAATGATTAATGTTGTATTATTTCCCCTCTTTAGCGAGCTCTGCAGGACCCCAATGTGGCAGCTTTCATGGTTGAACCTATTCAGGGTGAGGCTGGTGTCATTGTTCCTGATGAAGGTTACATGACTGGTGTGAGACAGCTGTGCTCAGCGCATAATGTAAGTGGGAGGACCTGTGGGTGAAGAAACTGTTCTCAACATGCCACATGTGATTTCATACCATCCTTAATCTCTCCAGGTGCTGCTCATTGCTGATGAGGTGCAGACTGGATTGGCCAGAACTGGGAAGATGCTTGCCGTAGACTATGAGAATGTTCATCCAGATATTGTGATCCTTGGAAAAGCTTTGTCAGGAGGAGTGTATCCGGTAAGTACTTGTAACTTGATGCACTATGAAGTATCGTATAGCAACTGAATTCTCTAATCTTTGAACAATTAAAATATTGATTCACTATTATGGGGTATATTTATGTATATTTTTGTTTAAACCAGGGAGCAGACTATAAAGAACCATCATGAGTCCTTTTTAAGGCTTGGGCAACAAAAGTTGCTCTTTGGACCTATACACAGTATCCACAACTTTTTGACTGCTGCAAGGATCTCTGGCTCTCCCATTCCAACTTTAGACTACTGTCATTAAAGCTCCCCAAACCCTGTGAGGGCATCAGCTCTGAAAACAGCCCATATCTTAGTTATGGGGAATGCTGGCACAAAAGATCAGTTTGTGGCTGAAAAGCCAGCGACTCTATCCTTCCTTGTTCGGGTTTTTTTTATTGTACAGCCCTAAGAGGCTATGCATGTCCCCAGAACATGTCCATGTCGGCAACCTAAATCCATGTGAACAAGATTTTCTCAAAGTTTCCAAAAATCTTTGAACCTACTAATCCTAGCACCACCACGATTGCCATCATTTTCTGGCTATGGACAATGGATAGCCATTTTCACCCCTTTATTTGACTTGGGCATTGTAGATAATCACTGGTGGCATAACAGGGTTGGCGTTCTTGGACATTTTGCAGTGATTTCACCGTGTGTACATCCAGAATACACCAGTAAAGTTGTGGAGCATCTTGTTCTGGAACCATGCTTGTGTGCCAAGATCTGTTGCCATAATAAAGGTTGCAATTACAGGTTGGACATGTGCAGTGCAGCGAGAAGCCATTCTAGTAAATTATGCTTCTGAGCAGGTCATTTTGGCCTGCATTCCAGAATTAGTTTTGAACAGCTTGAAAAGTGACTGTCAAGACAAACTCCCAGGGGGGAATTTATCATAGCAATTGCAGGTGTTTGAACTCTCATATGGTTGCAAAGGATATATTTATGCCAGATTTATGTTGCTAGTGTAATGCTGTTCATAAATGAGATTAAATAGACTCCCGCAATGAAGACTTGTAACTCCAGGCAAGAAGCTTAACTGTCGCTGCTTGAAGTGGTCATGGGGACTTAAGTAGCGATTGTTTTGTTGGGTGATGCTCAAGTTTCAGACAGCCGCAGGACAAGTGCAGATGTAAACAGGCACAAAATACATGCAATCTCTGATCAAAACAGGCGCACATGTTAAAAGTTGCGGCTAAACAGATTTGCACATAAAGAAAAATGATCTAAGAGGCAACAACTGTCGCAATTGCTATGATATTCCTCCCCAGTGTTCTGATGCGTCATTGCATTTTTATTTTTGCTTGGTCCTAAAGGCAACATCTTTGATCATGAGGCATGTAAAATCTACCTATCATTATATTCTAATTTGCACTATAATTTTCGTTCTCATCAGGTTTCTGCTGTTCTTTGTGACGATGAGGTGATGCTCACAATCAAGCCAGGAGAACATGGATCCACCTATGGTGGCAATCCATTAGCTTGCCGTGTGGCAATTGCTGCTCTGGAGGCAAGTACTGAGCCTATACTTGTTTTGCTGGAATTTTATACAAAAATTATATGTGCTTGCTGTTGGTGTTCACCAAATTGGAGATCTGGTTGGATGAGGTAATGCAATGCTTCATTTTTTACAGGTGATTGAGGAGGAGAAGTTGTCAGAGAATGCCAGATTGATGGGAGAACTGCTGAGAGCAGAGCTTATGAAGGCACCATCAGACATAGTGACCGCTGTCAGAGGAAAGGGTCTGCTTAATGCCATTGTCATCAAACAAACAAAAGGTAAACACGTTTTAGATTGTCATAATGGTCCCTATAAAAGGATGCTGTCCCTCCCAGCCCTATAAATTGCCATACTGATGCTAAAACTGGTTACCCCGGTTTTCGTCTCTTAAAATAATCTGATTCTGTTTTTTAGTGTTTACCAAGCTGGTAACATCTGTGCAGATTTGAGAACAACCTCTGTCTAGTTCAGTTATTACCATATACCTATAGGAAGTACTCAAATGAGTATGAGTTTTCTTGCTATACATTGTTGCTGTGACAATTGTTTTAGTATCAAGAAGTAATGAAACCATGTCCAGTGTTTGAATGGTTTCCTCCGAGTTTTTTTTTTTATTCTACTCCTGCCTTTGATCAGGAATCCCTGTGCTGGAGTTCATAGGTTTGTTGTGTCTAACTCAAAATCTGATGTTGGTCATATTCTAGGAACACCTTCAATTCTTTAAAAAACGGTGTTTCCCCCATCGTCCAATATATTTGTAAAGTAGAAGCATAGTTTTAAAATTTGAAAGGTTTTCATATTGCATTTTGGCATTTCTGTGAGGTTTTGAGGAGGCTTGTAGATGTATGTGTAGTCATGCAGTGCTGTAAAACTAAACTTGCATTACCTTTTCAGACTGCGATGCCTGGAAGGTGTGCCTCCGACTCCGTGATAATGGACTCTTGGCCAAACCCACACATGGAGACATCATCAGACTGGCACCACCACTGACCATCAATGAAGAAGAGATTCAGGAGTGCACTGAAATTATCCACAAGACCTTGCTTTCATTTTGAGCAGTCTTTATGGAGGCATAAAAGTTTAATTCTGCTTTCTCATGTCTTGGCTCACTGACTGGAAACTCTAAGTGTTTAGAGTGCTTTTAGAATTGGTCCAATGGACACTTGTCTGCTCTCTACTGATCCCATGGGCAGTGATCTGGTAGTCACTGCTGCACACAGATGGGCAGTAGACTGAAGGTATAAAGGATTGGAATATGGTCCAGATTACCAGTAGTTCTGGTGCTGGAAATGTGTTTAAGGAAGTTACATGTATGCTATGTAGTATCCATCTGCAGTACAACGTGCTGTATATAATGTAGTGTTTATAAAAGTAACAGTTATTTAATATTTCATATTTCTAGAGTTTATAGTTTGCTTTATGTAAAATGTGAATAAACATGGCTTGTTCTTGCTTGTGTTGCTTACATGTTTCAATGTAAAAGAAAAAAAAAACTAAACTTGGTATACCAAGATGTGCACACTTTGACATACAAAAATTTTAAAAGATGTCTCCACATGGGATCCCTATTTTTATTTACATTGTAGTAAATAAAGCCTATAATATTCTTAAAACATAACTCCAGGCTCCTGACCCTCCTATGCTTACCCATAACGGTCTGTTATACTTAATATAATTGTTTTTCTTTCAATGTCGGGTCTATAAATATATAAATTAATATGGCATAACAAGGGATGCACCAAAATTTCGGCCACTGAAACACATCGGCCGAAAAGGATAATTTGGGCAAAATGCTGACAAGTACAAGGTTTTTGGCGGAAAATGCTTTGCATCCCTAGGTTTTTTTCTCCTCCCCTCTGGGCGCTGCTCTGTGTCCTGACACAAAGCAGCACCCAGCAGGGGGGAGAGAAACTGTCAACAGGCCAAGCAGGGAGGAGATTGCGGTCAGTCCCGCTCTGCCTCCTGTGACAGGCAGATCAGGATGGAGAGCAGGGAAGACAGCTGTCACCTCAGGAGGATGAGCCAGTGGTGCAGGGAGGAGTTGACTGTGTCAAAGGAGACTGAGCTCTCCTTCCTGCGCCACCAGTACAGCCACCTCCTGGCAACTGAAGGAGTCAGGATATGGAGCTGTGGCAGAGGCTAAGGTCTCCTCTTACACCGTGTGCTCAGCCTCCTGTGACAGTGAGTCAGGATTGAGAGCAGCTTACAAGCAGTCATCTGATTACTGAGTGTTAGTAAACATACCATGACCTCAATTATTTAGTGTCCCCAATTATGAATGAACAGGAAGTGCTCTACAACACTTCCTGTTTTTTTATTCATGATTGTGGCCATCGTAACTCTTCAATACACAGTTTATGAATGGACAGGAGCACTCAATCTTTTTCTGCAGCTCCTGTAATGAAAAGGAAGCCTATAGACTTAAGGATTCTGTCTTAATCTTTTTCTATTGTAAAAGGGAAATATCAGGAGTCTGCTTAGACCCCCGAATATTTCCCCAGAGCCCCCAACAGTAAAGTGAAGAATACAATTTTTAAAAAGGTTAGAAAAATAAATTCAGTTTTCGTTTAGGTCTGGAGCTTCAATTTTGGTGCCGCTCTAGAAATAACCAGTTTGTAAACTTGTCTTAACTTTCTCTAAAACTACATCTAGGGATGCACAGATGCTGGGTATTTTCATTTAGTACTTGTGAGTGCCCTGATATTAAGCGCTGATCTCTGCATTTTTAAGTGGAAGCTGGCGCTGTAAAGACGCCGCTTTTCACAGGAAGGCTGCCGAGGTCTCCAGCAAAAGTCCTGGTAGCCTTCCTGTGTGTTGCGGCGTCTTTACAGCGCCTGCTGAAAAATCTCCTGCAACCCTGCACCTGCCGTGCTCTTTGCTGAGACCCTCTGCCTACCTCTTGCCCCTCAATGTGATTGGCAGATTCCAGGACCAATGGTGAAGTGTAGGAAGGGGACAGACCAAATTATCCTAAATGCAACACATCTGTGTGATAAATCCTTTACTGAAATTATGTGAATGTTACATTTATCAAATACCCCATGCTAATGAAAATGCTGCATCTCTTATGTTCTTTTGAATTGACAATGTAGTGTACAGTGTCTCCTGCGAATGACTAGCGCCATATGAAGATATGCTATGCAGCACTTTTTGAAGGTGCCGGCAGATCCAGTGTGATACTACATAGTATGTAACACAAGTTAAATATTAAAGCATTTTATAACAGATGCTGCCAGTGCAGGAAGATAAGTAGCGCTCAGTGTCTTGCACTATAAGCTGCCTCATAATTTTTCTTCTCAGCTGCAGCTCTTCCAATTTCATAATGCAATTTAAACTCTGTAGAATACATTTCATATGAGTGTCATTATTGGTCCAAGAGCAATGTAGATCTTAACATTATGTTGTACTGTTCTGATATAAGAAGGTTCTGCCTGTTACTGAAAATGATCCAAAAGCAGCATTTCGGTTACTGATCTGGCCTGACTGTAGCCTATAGAGGTCACAACTCCCACAGTCTGGAAAGTCTCCTAGCCGTGAAGCCACTAAAAGATAGTGACTGAAATATACAACACTAATTCCAAATAAAGTTGGGATGATGTGTAAAATCTACATAAAAAAACACAGAATGCAATAATTTGCGAAGCTCATAAACCCAAATTTTAGTCACAATAGGAAACGTATCACGTGTTTAAATTGAGAAAATGGATAATTTTAAGAAAAATAATTGTTTAACATTGAAATTGGCAGCAACACTCTGTCTCAAAAAAGTTGGGATAGGGCAACAAAAAGCTGGCAAAGTAAGTGGTACTAACAAGGAAGAACATTTTGCAGCGAATTAGGTTATTTGGCAACAGGTCAGTAACATGATTCAGTATAAAAAGAGCATTTTAGAGAGGCAGAGGTTCACCAATCTGTGTCTACAACTGGTCGAACAATTTTGGCATGTTTCTCAACTTAAATTGCAAAGCCATTAAATATATCATCATCTACAGTACATAATATCAAAAGATTCCAGAAATATCTGCGTGCAATGGACAAGGCCAAAACGCAATATTGGATGCCTGTGATCTCCGGTCCCTCAGACGGTCATTATTCTGTGATGGACGTCACTGGGCTCAGGAATGCTTCCAAAAAAAAAATCACTGTCTGTGAACACAGTTTGCCATGCCATCCAAAAATGCTAGTTATAGCGTGATCATGCAAAGAATAAGCCATATCTGAACATGATCCAGAAATGCTGCCGTCTTCTCTGGGCCAAAGCTCACTAAAACTGTTCTGTGGTCAGACACATCAAACTGACTTTCTTTTTGGCAACCATGTGCGCCTTGTCCTCTGCACTAAAGAGGAGAGAGGGACCTTCTGGCTCATCAGCACTCAGTTCAAAAGCCTACATCTCTGATGGTATGGGGGTGCAATAGTGTGTATGGAAAGGCTCCATCAATGTTGACAGATATAGCTAGATTTTAGAGCAGCATATGCTCCCATCCAGACTATGGGGTCTATTCACGAAGCAGCTGAAGGATCTAGCCGTAGTTTCGGCCCCAGGACCCCTACGGTTCAGAAGAACCGAAGGGGCTGCTGTACGAGCTATTCACAATAGCCCGTACAGCTCCCGAACTGAGCCGCGCTGAAAGCCGAAGCTGGCCAGCCGACAGCCTGCTTCTGACAGCTGGGCGGAGCCAGCCGTGATGTTATGGCTGGCTCCGGTCACTTGCAGAGAGATCAGCATCCCTGGTTACCTGTTAACCAGGGACACTGATCTCCAGACAGCAAACTCTCCCGGGCGCTCCGGGAGTCTCCCGCTCCCGGCCGCCCAGGAGAGAAACACTGCTTTTTCTTTTTTTGTTCTTTATTCTGACACGGAGCCGTGTTAGAATAGAAAAGAAATATATATTTTAGGGACCGAGCAGAACAGCCGAGCCGAATACCGCTCAGCGGCATTCGGCTATTCACTCACTGCTGTTCGGCATCTATAAGAATAGACCGAACAGCAGCGAGTAGCCTGCTGGAGGTTCGGCTTTGCCGATCCAGATGTTGGATCGGCTGAGTCGAACTCCTGCACTTTGGGTCGACCGAACATGCGGAGCATGTTCGGCCGACCCGAAGCCATCCGATGTACGGCTGATTTTCAGCCGTACCAGCCTGAAGTGAATAGCCGAACGATCAGGTTAAATCTTGGAAATGAACCAACTACTTATTATCAATACAAATAATCCTGTTTCTAAAGAGCCTTAAAAAGACTCTGACCCCATACTATTAATATCAGCAACGATCTTCCGATACAATTATATATAAAATTACATTGTGCATTTAATCTCCTGTAAATATTGCTAACATTAAAGAGGCCCAAGACTGGCCATCTTGGATGTAATCAGCAGCCTTGGGAAGACACAATGCTGTCACTCAGATGATGTTCTGCTATCATTTATTTACATTTCTTAAAAGCTTCTCCTTTAGGTCCCTTTAACACTTATGACTGGGGCTGACTAGGTCCCTTTAACACTTATGACTGGGGCCCATTGGGTGAACCTTACGAATTGCTCTGTGGGACCCATGTGAACAGCTGTGGGCAGGAGGCACTATACAAAGCAATGACAGCTGACAGCAGCCACGCCCGTTTCGATGTAATCGGACATAATTTGATTACCCGCAGACGATCGCCCCTGGACACAATCTGTTTCCTTTGTATTGCACTTTCCACCCACAGATGTTCGCATGAGTATCACCGAGCAATTAGTGAGTGCCAATTTTGCAAATCTGCCAAATTTGCAAGTGTGAACCTGATGACAGGGCAGAGTTGGCACACAGCCGAGTAATGAATAAAGCATTTCCTTCTATCTGCATATTTTATAATCTGCTCCGGCTTTGTGTACATTTTTGTGCACTGACTCTGCTCCAACTGGCACTTCTGTTTCATCACTTTATGGCTGCACAGATAATAAATCACTGATCGTGCTTGAAATCCTGTATCTGTGCAGGCTCCTGCTGTCTGGCTAAATACCAGCAGAAGGCGCTGCCCACAACATGTGGGGGAAAAAGAAAACCTTAAAAGAAAAAAGTTGGTTAAGCTGAAAGTGCTTATCCTCCCCTGCTGCAAGGCTTTCATGAAGGGTTAGTTCCCAAACCCTCCTCACCACCTGGTTCCTGCTGCTCGTATCTGTAATGATGACTATCTCTGGTTGCCCACGCCAGCCACCTTAATGGCCCGACACTTGAAGACTTCACTAACGCTGTGTAGCAACATAATGCTTATAATGGCAGGTGGTCATTGACCATGCGACTGCACTGACCAACAAGAATCTCTTCTTTCTTATGCAATCGTGTCCCTGAGGAGAGAAGGCTCAGAGGAGATTTTCATTGGTCAGCCTGGCCATTTGTCAGAGTGGTCCTTGGACAGCAAAGCAATGTGCTGACCAATTAGAATTTCTTCTTTCTTCCAGGACGCCATCCCT